AAAAAAAAAAATATTTACGTTACTATTCTATAAACGGGTGCTTAAAAAAAATAAAGCTGAAAACTGAATTTATGACCAACCCTAGATTCTGAGTACTCAGAATACCACTGTGTGCCCCCAAGGAGCTGTCAAATCTGGTCTGGACTACTGGAAAATCCTACAAATGGCCTCCCAGTCTCTTCCCAAGCAATGGCCATCAGGTCCCAATACATCCTACTACACTATGTAAAGATAAAAGGCAATGCCACAAGTAACATGTGCGAATACCTGATGTGCTGATCAGAGTGTGTGGATATTGTAGGCTATTTACAATGATAAATGCATTTCAGTCCTTATGCTCACATAGCTCAGGGTCCGCCAAATAATTCTCAAGCAACTCCTGAGCCACTCAGGAGACACACACACATAAACAAGACTGTATGTCTAACACAGGTTCATTCAGTTACAGAGGAGACAAAAATCAAATATCACAACTGTCCTGAAAACAGCTTAATAAAAACCTTCACAATATCATCTACCTGGATCTCAAAAGCTTGTTTACTTACAGACACCAAGTGAAAACTTATGCTTTGTTTGGTTCTTAAGTTTGTCTGACTCCAGCGTTCAGAATCTTACTTTTTCTATCAAGCAGCTGTCTGTTATTTATTTTTAATCACTCAGCACAATTATTCTAAATACTGCTAGCTCTTTTGAATAATCTAAATAAATACTTGGAAAAGAGACGACATTAGAGCAATTGAACTTGGTGAACTTTAAATGTTCCTATTAAATCAGAAATATTTCTATGCTAGTGCTTCTCAAAAGGTCACTACAGACCCCTAGATGTCCTCGAGACACACTGTTGGGCCTCACAAGCTCAGAATTAAGCTCCTAATAACACTAAGACGTTCTTTACCTAGTGACTGACATCTCCACTAACAGTATACAAACAACGATGGGTAAAATTGCCAATGGCCTTAGCAGGAATCAAAGTATTGGTGCTAATGCATAGGAGTAATTATAATCTTTATCACCCTAAGCTCATAGTAAAGAAGAGGGGGAAAAGTTCATTTCCCTGAAGAATGGCACCAAAGAAGCAATAAGTTATTCATTTATTTGTATCTCAACCAATGAGTACAGTTTTCCAGCATGCTGTGTGACATGTGTGGCAAAATGGCAAGCACACAGGAAGCACCTGTGCTGTATACTGAAGTACAACTGAACTGTAAGCTGCACTGGCTGCTTTTTTTAGGTGGCAATATTTTCATTTGGAAACACAACTGACAAACCAATTATTCAGACTTAGGTGTTTGGCAGACACCTTCTGGAAACAGAAGCATGTTTCCAACTGCTCCCCAACACTTCCTTACTTTTCTAATGCTACTGTGGTGGTGTTGTTGACAAATGTGAATTCTGAATCTACTAAACATGCCACCATTTGGAAGAATCTGTCTTAACCAACAGACATAGCCTAAATGACCAATGAATGTCACAAATTTAGACATGAGTGAACATTTGTTGGAGGATAAACCAACAGATTCTAATACATCAAAACAAACACTATTTGATGCAGGTTCCAGAAGCCACTATGTAACTGACCTTAAGGACCCAACTCCTGTGAGTGTTGGAGTAGCACCAAAGAACATTCACGATTCCTGAGAAAATCATTACAATATTTACAACCTGGCATAAGCCTGATTTCGGCCATGTTTCACCTCAAGGATCCTGAATGCAGAAACAAGAGAATCTCTCTTCCATTATGCAGACTTAAAAATTATTTTAGAAAATGGCAAATGATGTCATAATCCTTTTGTCATTATAGTTGTTTTACATGAAACATCATTTATGTTAACATGTAATAGACTTAGAAACTCCCAGTTGTAATTTTTAACACTTATTTTTTAAAATAAAGGGGTCCTGAAACCAAAGGTTTGAGACTTGTACTGTACTTTCTAACTGCTTAACTTTATTGCCTTCCCTCCAAGAAACTTGCTTCCTTTATATTATGAATGAAACTGCATATTTATTTAAATTCTTTGTGCCTTATATCATAAATTATAAATTTATTTAAAGTTCTTTACCCAGTAATGTTTTAATAAAAATTGAAGACCAACAAGACATGTTTCAATAATCATTGCCTTAATAACTAGGAGAGTAAAAGGGACAGAACTACCATTCTATTGACTAAAAACTTTTTAAGACAAAATTATATTTTAATGAAGGTCAGAACAATAAAACTCTAATTATTCAAATTATGTTTTAATTGCAGAAGTGAACAACATATTGCAAATATATATTTGACTTGCTGATTCCACCAATGGCAAAAGAACTTTGAAAGCTACAAATGTTTTATGTGAATGAGTTCCCAAAAAGCAATTTTGCTATAAGACTAAACAATTATAAATAGAATTATAAAGTTCTAATTCACAAATACACGATTGTGTTTTAAGGTCCTTCAGTTGGTCTTAAAATTGATAATGTAAAAATAAAAATTGTTCACACATAAAAATGCACATCATTGACAAGGCAATGGTGCAGGTTCAAGTGGAGAATGCAAAGAGGAGAAAGTCGGTTCATGGGTCACTGTGACACCCACATCACAAGGATAGCAAGGACCTCATGGAGCTCACTGATGATTCTAGGGCAATTCACAGCTTCCAATCACAATCGCATGATAAGCAACACAGAACTGATTCAGCATTCCTACATCAATGTATCTTCTCTCCTGATAATCACTGGAAAGTTAAGACACCGTGCCAGCTGCATAGCTGAAATGGAAACACAAATAGCTGCTATCAGGGTGTTGAAGACACCACAGAATGAATTATCTATTTCCCTAATGGTTACCCACATGCCATCAATAATGAAAATGTGTGTATTAATAGTCCTATGGGACAAATGAACAGTAACCCTCTAAGGAGGTGGTGGAGGTCAACTGAGTGGTTTAGAGAGCATTATGTACCTGCAAAAGTAGATACCTCAAAAATTATACTACATAGCAACTTAGTAACATTTTGTGCTTGCTTTCTTAGGAAAACTAAAATGTCAGATTTTGTTACTAAGCAAAGCATTCATAATTTGCTCTGAGATTATAATATCTGCAAGTAGAAAGATGGTAAGCAATAAGAAAAACCACAAGTCTCTAAATGTAAATACTGACGTTAGGTTAGGTTGATAGTGAAATTCAGGAATTGTGCAACTTATAAATGGGTAATGTTTTAAAATTTAATCTATGAACTAGAGGGATAAGCCTTGGAATTAATTTTTTCGTATGAAACCAATGCTACAAAAAAAGCTGGATTCTCTGGCTAGCTTGTAAATGCATGCATTTCACATCCTGGAAATACTATACCCTTGCAAGGGATTTCAGCAGAATGTACTATTTTAGGAATTAAGACCTTTATGAAACAACAACATAAAATGTAATATCGTATCATGAAGTCTGTCATTTGAAGAAAAATCCTTAATTGAAAAAAAAAGAACTAGAACGTTTTTAAAAATCTACTCCAAAATAGGGTATTTACAGGCTCCAACTTTTAGTCAACTAAACAAGAATTAGAACTTGGAATCTCTGAGTAATGGTTAAATGAGTTCTAAGTTTATGAAAACGGAGAAACAGAAATAAATTCTCTCGAGTTAAGTGACAACAGAGGTACAACCAGAGAAAAATGTGAGGTCCAACAGTTTCCTGTGCCTAAACTAGGTCATATTGTTGGCCCAGGACGACTGAGTTGAGTAAATTCTCATACTCGGACAATAAGGGGACTACAGCATACCTGGAAAGAGAGCTGTGAGCCCAGCGCTCCCTGAAGGCACAAGGTGCAGAAGCTGGCTTGTCCTCATGGTTCCACACAGACTATCAGGAGTGTGCAGTGGAAGGAGTGGGTGTTTTGGGGTGTGGTGTGTCAATAGCTAGGTAACTTTTGCCAACTCAACTTAAATATGTGTTTCCTTGTATGTAAAAGGAAGATGAAACATCTAAGTCAAATACTGCTGAGATCAAATATAGTAGTGTTAATAAATGCAGCTACTTCTATTTAAACAAATTTAAACCATTTTATTACCTACTAGAGCTGTGTAAGTAAAAGTACGCACAACTAGGAGTCCTGCTAGATTTGGATTTAACATTGGAAATGACTCATTGAAGACTGTGCCACCTGCACACAGAAAATAAGACAATGCCTCATTTTTCTGTCAAAATCGGCTCAGGTGGTAGATTTTCTAGTTCTCCTTGGGCCACTACTGCCAACATTCTCCATTCTGCAGGTGGTGTAAACTCTGATGGTGAGACTTACGGCCGGTGTGAGCAGGTTTATTATACTATGTGAGTTCCTTGCTGACAGAGACTTCATCCTGCTGAACTCTGCAGCAGACATTGCTATGTACTAAAAATACATAGTGAGCCCCTACTAACAATGATTGACTGGTTGATGAGCTAAGTAGGATAATATGACACAAAACATCAGACGGACACATTCTACTCTCATGCAGTAGAATGAAATTCAGTATTTTAGTCAAAGATGTGACCAATCTAAGCATGCAGAAAAATAACTTATTAATCTACGACAAAAGGGAGGAGGATCGATGAAAACCAAGCATGAAAACTTGGATCCCGCACTCGCCTTTCTCTTCGGTCGCTATTACTTAGGACGCACAGGTCAAGAGCTGCTGAACGGAAAGACTTATTTCTGGTCGTTATCTTGGCCAATCACACTAGTATGCACTTTGCTTAAGATGAACGATGACAGACATTTACAGCAAAAGTGGCTTCCCCTGTGTAGGCTGCCCCCAGATTTCTTAGAAGCCCCAGAACTTCTTGCAGAGGCACTGGCAGGCGGAGCTCGTCGCCGACGGCGGGGGAGCACACCTGCGCCGCGACCTGGCGGCGCTGGGCGAGCCCTCTGCGCTCCGGCGCGGGCGGGCGCCGGGCGGGCGAGTCCAGGGTCCGGCGTGCGCACCTCCCGGCCCTGAGCCGACGGCGGGGGCCTGCGCCGCCCGCGCCGCGGTCCCGCTGCACTTACTCAGGCTTGCTGGCAGGTTGCGAGGTCGGCCGCGGGCACGAAACCGAGCGCCGCGCAGCAGCGTCGCCCCGCGCCGCTTCCGTCGCTCCTCATCGTCCTCCTCCAGCCGAAGGGCCGCCGCCGTCGCCACGGTCTAGCCCGGAGATCCAGCGGCACGGCTCTTGACGGCTCTACTTCCGGCCAGAGCTGGAGTGTCGCCGGCAAATGTCCCCGCCGGCTCCCACATAACCTGCTCTCCGCCGTCCTCCCGGCTGGGAACCGGGCCTCCCTTCCGAGCATGCGCGGAAACCGCGGGCCGAGAGGCTCACGACGGTGGCCGACAGGGTAAAGATACCTCAGCGGCTCCCTGCGGCCAAGGTTGCGTGGCTAACGCTCGCGCGTTTCACAACCCTGGGCCTCGCGAAAGGCGCTCGCGATCACCCCTCCCCTCCCCTCACCCCGCAAAGGCCCATCAGACCTTGACCCCGGGGACTCCACGACATCGCCTTTCTTTGTTTTGACAAAGAAATCCTGTCTGCCCATGGGGTTGTTAGGGTCCCCCTTCTGACCCCACGAGCGGAGTGGCAGGGCAGAGGCAGGCCTGAATCGTGCACACTGAGAGGGTTCTTCAAAGGAAAAGAGGATTTATTTTTTCCAAGTTCCATAAAGCACAAGCCTGCGGGAACGTGTTAGGTCGCGTAGGTCATTGCTTCAGGTGGACCAGCATTGCACCCATGCAAGGAGCTGGTTTACCCCGGTTTACCTGTCTGCCTTGCTTTCCCCCAGGGCCAGTCCCATTCTGTAAGCTCTATTTTATATATAAAGAGGATATCTCCTAAGTTGTTGTTTTTTGTTACGCAACAGGGGCCTTCCAAGAAACTGAGGCGACACAAGACCCCCCCCTCCCAATACCCCCATTCAAATCCCGATTCTTGCGACCAAATCAGATTTTAGACCTGTTGACCGGAGTAACAGGAATGGGGAAGGCCACACTCAAAAAAGGGAGTGAGTCCTCTCAGATGAGAGAGGGATGCCCTGCTTCTCCTGCACCTCAGATTTGGAAATCCCTGCGAAATTTCCAGAGAATCCCACCTGAGATCCACCTCTTGACTTTTAACAGCAGGGGGACATAAGACTCCCAAGTCCGCACTGTCATAGTAACTCTAGGTCACTTTGGCCCGTGCTGACTCCAGTTGGATTCTTAACCATACATTCTTACAGATTTTATGGTTAGGAGGAACTACCCTTTCTCCCAGAGTTTCAGGATCTGGTCACAAAAGACTCCCGGGTTCTTCCAACAACATTATCTTGGGCCTGCATTTCTCTTGCAGTTAACAGGTAGTTTGCAAAGGAATGTGACATATCTTGTCCCATTAGGCCAGGCAGGGCTAGGTGAATTGACTCTTGAAAAGAAATCATGTGGGGGTCCACACCGTGAGCCCATTTTAAAGAATTATTCTCTTAACCTCATGTCCTCACGATGCTCATCTGTTTGTCTCCTGACAGTTTGGTTGGTTTTAACAAATGTATCTTGCTACTAGATGAAAAGCTCCAGGAAAGTCTTAAAGTATGACTTACATAAATAAATTAACAGTCACAGCAACTCTAAAAGATACTATGAGAAATACAATTACCTGTCCAAAGGCAAAGAATGGACTAATATACACAAGATAAGAGTGAAGGTTTACTTTAATGATGGTCTTGCAAGATCGGGGTGCCTGTGGTCAGGATGCACAAACTGAGCATTACCAGTATTTTATGCCCTAGAACTCAAGATCCTGCCTTTGGTTCCTCATTGGCAGAGTACTAAGGGGTGTTTTACTGTCTCCTAATGGGTTATTTAAAGAAATCTACCTTTAGTTGTCCCCATCTCCCTTTGTTCTCTTGTGGCTGAAAGTCTCCTTGGATTGAGCACCTTTTGACACACTTTATCTCAGGTCAGCCCTTGCTTCTCACTTCCTGTTGGTGAAGGGTCTATAAATTTGTACATTCCAGTGTTAACTGCTTTTAACTTCTTATTCTGCTGTACTTGAAGCTGCCTATTTTATATCCCAAGTCATTTCAAGTTTAAGGCTAAATACTGTATTCTGAAAATGGAACCCTGGACTTTTTAGTGTGTGTGTGTGGTGGTGGGGATTGGACCCAGGGCCTTGTGCATGTGAGACAAGGACTCTACCAACTGAGCAATATCCCCAGCCTCTGGGCTTTTAATTTCTCACAATACTTTGTAGAAAAACCTTGGTTCTCTTTGAACCAAGCAGCAAAAATCACACCACAAATTGGGGACTGGGCTTAGAATCAATTTCTGGTTTGTCTAGCTAGGTAATTCATGGTTCTCATTTCAATAATACAATTTCAGCACCTGAAATTGTAAGAACACTGTAAATACTGAACAAGTAGACAGACAAGAGATCTTTCTTGTGACCAGCAAATGGAACCTCTTCTAATTTAACATTGCTGGGTGTTTTCCAATGTAAATTGATACTTAAGTTGAATAGTGGGGGTGGGGGAATTATTGACAGAACAGTATCGTGTGGCTTTACAACATCACAGATGATTTCTGACAAATATCCAGTAATTCCAGTAAACTAAACATACAAAGAAAGTAACAACGTTGCTAACATGGAAGAAGCCATAGGATCTAGGTCCATTTCAAACTAGCACTGTGAACTAAGTTAAGTCAGAGTTTTGTAAAATGAGGATTTTGTACATTAGATAATCCCACATGGTAGTTAAAACATTTTAGAATTATTATCAGAGCCCACTGCAGCAAAATCTCACTTTGATTTTAAATCAATATTATTTTATCCTAAAAGGAAATAATTCTAAGAGTTTCTCCCCCCACCTGTTATAGATAATTTCTCATTCTCCAAGGCGAAAGAGGAGAGATGACTGCAAAATTTCAATGCAAAGCAGCAGTTCCTGCAACATAAGGACTGAGTTTGTTTTTGTTCCTCAATACTAGATATCTAGCACCTCAATACTGGATATCTAGCACATGTACTATATCATAGCAGGTGCTTAATGACGGAATCCACAGTTGCGGGTAGTAGGCTAATTGCAAAGACCACTTTGAGTTCCCAGTCACAACCCCGGGCAGTCGCTCTCGGGTCCCCTCTACCCAGGCCAAACAGGGGTTGGGGGGGGGGGGGCGCTGTTTCGAACGCCACTGCGCCTGCGCGCGCCGGCCTCTGACGCGACGGCTGGTCCTCGCGTTTGCACTGCGCCTGCGCGGCTCGCAACTGCAAGTGTTGTTCTTGCGGGCGGGATTTCCGGTCGGTGTAGGGTCCCGGCTCTGGACGTCCGGTAGGAGGGCGGCGGGCGCAGGTGAGGCTTCCGCAGCGGTGGGCGCGGTCGGGTCGAGGTCTGGGCGCGGCGGCCTACGGCCGGAGCCCCTATTCCTTTGTGCGTTTAGGGCGGCGCGGAGCCGCCGGTGCCAGCGGCTGGACCTGGGGGGTGCGCCCGGCCAGACTGCGTGGGCGCCGGGCTCCTGGGTCCCGCGCTGGGGCTGGGCTCGGAGCGGGCGGAGGGCTGCTGCAGACCGCGCAGCGGGGCCGCCTGCAGAGGCTGCCGGCCTGCAGGGAGTCGCCCCTGGCGCGCCTGCACTCGGCTGCGCGCACCTGGGGGTCCCGGAGCCTCGGCCGCTAGTTTCTTCTGATTGAGATTCTCCCAGAGTGTCGCCAAGTGCCAGGGCAGGTGCGCTGGCTCCGCGAGTCCTCTGTCTCGGAGGGCAGCAGCTGGTCCGGGGCTGCACAGGGGACTTCAATTGTGCTGCCACTTCCTCTTTTTCCAATAAAACAGCGCTTGAACATCTTCTATGATCACTAATTAAAACGGACCCTGGTTTTGCTGTGGCATCTCGCAGCAGCCAGATGCATTCGTTGTGTTAATTACTGCTTCCAGTCTCTTGAAAGCTTCACTTTATTACTGTTAAAACTGAAGCATCCTCCTCCCCCGACCCATTCTTATTTGCTCAATATTGCACTATTAGATTTTAAATGTTGTGAGGATCGGTAAACATTAAAGTACTGACAGTTTCAAGGATTTCCTAATAGGGCACTGGGTTGAGCACGTATGTAAAAATGATCTGATTTCATCCCCCTTCTAATTTCCAAAGGTTTTTTAAATTTAAATTTTTTTTTATTTTTAAACTTCATTGTACTCTTAAGCTGAAACTTTAAGAAATTGTCCCATATTAATCACACAGCTATAGTCCACGTTTGAGTATTTGTTAGACTCCAGAACTGAGCATAACAACAAAGCTTTTTTGTCTCATTGCAAATGGAAAGAATTAGCTAAAAAGCTCAGAATCTAAAAAATAAAATTAGAGTGCATATAAAAGAAAATTGAGATCCAGATATTTGACTTTTTATGCAATGGCAATAAGCAAAAATTGTCTATTCTTTTTATAGTAATTTTGTAATTTCATTACCTGTACATATAGTTATTTTAAGATACATGTGTATTCACACCATTACTTAAATTTTGTCATTTTGTAAAGTAATTGAAGTCTTGAGTGAAATTTTGACTTTGAGACCATGTGGCATTTACAAACAGATCTATAAAAACTATATCAATGTTTGAATATTCAGAGAAGTATTTCTTAATAAAGTTAATCTTATATATATATTACATAAATTATAGATGCAGCATGTGTGCTGTAGTATATCCACTTGAGAGAACCAGGTGGTACAGTCAGTTATGCAAACCAGAGTATGAAAGGGAAGGCAGTTACTATAATCAAAGTCTGAGGAAAGTGGTCTGTCCTGGGCTTATCTCTTGATCTAAACTGCTTAGTAGAAGTGGGGCTTGCTTTGTCAAAAATTAGACTGAGAGGGGCATGGTTTTTCTCTTCAGGCTGCCCAGTGGCAGCTGTGAACCATTGCCAGTGCCATCAGAACGAGGCTGTACCCCACCAGTGGGTTGGTGTGTACATATGTGATCAGCACGACTTTCCCCATATGCTTTCCCAGGAACCAACTGTAGGGGTTTAGTAAGTGACAGGCAAACAAAGCTACTATGGGTTTGCCACTGGTAGCTGAAATTACAACATGGTTTCTGGCCTGTAGAGATGGTGTGTATCTGTTTTGTGTGCTGAAGTGGGGAATCCCATGGCTTTTACTCTAGAGTAGAGCTCTTTACTTCATAAAAAGCCTCTGGTTCCACTGCATGCTGGTGTGCCAGACAGGATCTGAGATGACAAGAGAAGCTGTGATCTCTAGAGAAGCTGTAGAGCACTCATTTTACTTGAAGTCTATTTTGGAAAAAATAGCTTATTTTAATTAAGCCTTAATTAAAATAGC